AAATCGGTGGCAAACCTCACCGAACCATATGAATCCGCTAGGACCCCATACAGAGGCAATTTCTGATTTGGGAATAATGCGTTCCTACGAATACTAAGACTCCTTTGGGTTCCTTCTCAGGCATCTGGCAAGTCGGGCGATTTTCCAGGATCCTTAAAATTTCCAGGATTCCCTCGGATTCCCTTCGAGGAGTCTGGGAATTCCTACGACTCCACAGGAATTCATCGGATTCCATCTGATTCCCTTTCAAGAGCCCGGTAATTCTCAGGATTCCTAAGGATTCCTCGGACTCCAAAGAATTCTTCGGATTCGCTGAATTTCCCCACCGGAATCTGGCAATTCCTAGAAACCCTCCTTCGACCCGCGAGTTTGGACGTCCTGGGGTTCCTTGGACTCTTGAGATTCCCTCGGATTCCCTTTCAGGAATCTGGCAACCCCTAGGATCACGGACAATTCTAAATATTCCCAAGGACTCCCTCTCAGGAATCGGTCAATCCCCAGGAATCCCGAGGATTCGCTCCCAGGAAGGCGAACTCTAGCCAATGATTGGGGTTGTGATGGCTGCATTGTTGGGGTTGTTGCCAATTCTAGCTGGGAATCTTCGGTGTGTAGGTACTTCCAACAGAAGTGCCACGTACGTGACGCCACGCATGCGGCCCCAGGATCACCGTCAAAATCGCAAGGAATCGATTCCCCAGGATGTGAAAAACGATCCCAGTATTACTTTCGAATTCATGGAACATCGGTTCGCAACGATTTTAAGCCAGCGGCCCACAGGAAATAGATGAATGAATAACCACAGCCCGGATCCCATATTCATCCTGAGTATACCTAAACGACCACCCTTCGGGTGATAAGGAGGTCCGGGGGGGGGGGAGGAACCAACGTCTCACTCGATCGGTCTCACTATCGATCTCACTACCGATTTCACTATCGGTCTCGCTCGATCGATCTCACTGGATCGATCTCACAATCGATCTCACTCGATCTATTTCATTCGATCGATCTCACAATCGATCCCACTATCGATCTCACAATCGATCCCACTATCGATCTCACAATCGGTCTCACATTCGGTCTCACTGTCGATCTCTCGATCGATAACACAATCGATCTCACAATTAACGTCATCATCATCAACATCATCGTCATCAACGTCATCATCATCATCATCATCATCACCATCATCATCATCATCATCAACATCATCATCATCATCAGCATCGGGACACCATCGTCATCACCACCTCATCACCATCATCATCAACATCATCATCACCATCAACGTCATCATCATCAGGACACCATCATCGTCACCATCACCATCATCATCATCATCAAGACACCACCATCATCATCGGAACACCATATCACCATCATCTCATCATCATGAACAAGACCATCAACGTCATCATCATCGAAACACCATGAACATCATCAGCAACATCATCATCATCAACATCATCATCGGGACACCATCATCATCGTCACCATCATCGTCATCACCATCACCATCATCATTATCATCATCATCATCATCATCGGGACACCATCATCATCAACATCAGCATCATCATCATCAACATCATCGGAACACCATCACCTAAATCATCATCATCACCTCATCATCATCCTCATCATCAACATCCTCATCATCGGGGCAACATCATCGTCATCATCATCATCATCAACATGATCAACATCATCATCATCATCATCATCTGGATACCATCATCATCATCACCATCACCACCAACAGCATCAGCATCAACCTCCTCATCATCATCATCGGGACACCATCATCATCATCAGATTCGCCATCATCTTCATCATCATCATCATCATCATCTCATCATCACCAGGATCATCAACATCATCATCATCAGCAACATCGGGACACCAGCATCATCAGCAACATCATCATCAACAGCATCATCATCGGGACACCATCGTCACCACCACCATCACCATCATCATCATCATCATCAACATCGTCAACATCTTCATCATCATCATCATCATCATCATCATCATCATCATCGGGGCACCATCATCATCACCACCATCACCATCACCATCATCATCATCACCATCATCATCAACATCATCGACATCATCATCATCATCATCATCGTCATCGTCATCGTCATCGTCATCGTCATCATCATCATCATCATCATCATCATCATCATCGTCATCGGGACACCAACGGGACACCAGCGGGACACCGGCGGGACACCGCGGGTCACCGGCCCCGGGAAAGGTATCATTTGGTCCAGCCGCGCCTCAGCCGGAGGCGGGACACCGGCGGGACACCGCGGGGCCCGCGGTAAAGGAATCATTTGCTCCGGCCGCGCCTCAGCCAGAGGAGACTTTCTTCTCGCCCGCCCGCGCAACTTCGCCTCGCCCGCACGCACGGCATGCACGAACACGAAACCGAAACAGATTTCCCGGTAGGGGGGCTCTCCGTTCCACTTCGATCTCACCCCCTCACCTCCGACGACCACCCTTCGGGTGATAAGGAGGTTGTGGGTGGGGGGGGGAGAGAAGGGGGAACCAACCTCTGACTCAATCGATCTCACTATCGATCTCACCCACCGGGACACCACGGGACACCACGGGGCACATGTCGATCTCACTATCGATCTCACGATCTCACTATCGATCTCACTCAACGGGACACCACCGGACACCACGGGCCACCACGGGACACCACGGAACACCGCGGGACACCCCTCGATCTCACTACCGGTCTCACTATCGACCTCACTATCGATCTCACTCAACGGGACACCATAGGACACCATAGGACACCACGGAACACCTCGGGACACCACATCGATCTCACAATGGATCTCACAATCGATCTCAATCAACGGAACACCACGGGACACCACGGGACACCTGTCGATCTCACTATCGATCTCACTATCGATCTCACTTTTTGGGGCACCACGGGACACCACGGGATACCAACGGGACACCGGCGGGACACCGCGGGCCACCGGCCGGCAGAGGAGAAACATTTGGTCCGGCCGCGGCCCAGCCACAGGAGGATTTCGAGACACCAGCGAGACACAGGCGGGACACCGCGGGCCACCGGCCGGCAGAGGAGAAACATTTGGTCCGGCCGCGGCCCAGCCACCGGGGGATTTCCTCTCGCCCGCCCACGCAACTTCGCCTCGCCCGCCCGCACGCACGGCACGCACGACACGAACCCGAAACCGAAATCGATTTCCCGGTAGGGGGGGTCTCCGTTTCACGTCGGACTCACCCCCCAGCCTCCGATGGAATCCAACGGAAACCCGAACGGGATGCGCTATAGGGGTCCAAAGGTATCCCAAAGAACCCTGCGGAACCTCTCAAGCCCCAAGGGCAGCAACACCGCTTGCTATCCAGCTTTTGGTATAGGGCGCGCAATTGGGACATCTAACTAGGACGTGGTGGGAGGAGGTGGGGGGATGTGGGAAAAAAGGTGGGAGGACTCGGAAGGAGGTGGGGGGAGGTAGGACGAAGTGGGAGGACGTGGGAGGAGGTGGATGTGGGGAGGTGGGACGAGGTGGGAAGAGGTAGGATGAGGCAGGAGGACTCACAAGGGCGAAGAAGGAGGTGCGAGGACTCGAAATGATGTGTGGGGGAAGAATGTAGGGGGAGGGCAGAAGACCCGGGAGGACGTAGGAGGAGATGGGGGGAGGGTGGCCGCGGGGGGAGGCGGGAGTTGAAGGGTGGAGGTATGGGAGGCGGCAGGGGGGGGAGAGGTGGGAGGAGGAAGAGGAGGAGGAGGAACCGACACAAAACACACACCACACAGAATCAAGAGACATTTCCATTTAGCTCTCTGGCTCCGTGATAGCCCATGGTCCGACCTCGACTCTAACCAGGCCGGGTCTGGGATGACGGCCAGAGGCTGTGCGATTCCAGGAGCGCATCCTACCCTGAGCCCCGTTCGGGGTATAGGGCGGCACTCCTGGCGGACACCTCGCACTTGACCTCAGCCAGTGTAATACTGGCAGCGGACGCATGCAAAAATGAAAAAGTGGTCGCTTGCGTCCAGGAAAAAACATAGAGAGGCTAAATCCAAAAACTTGGGGACGTCGAGCCCTCGGATCCCGACAGCAGGACAACCGCGGCAAATGCCAGGAGACGGGCGGGGGGCGGCCCTGGACCCACGAAAACAACGTTCACACTGCCAGAACCTACCCTGCCAGCTCCACACGTGACCGTCAGGAGGAGGAAGAGGAAGAGGAGGAGGAAGAGGAAGAGGAAGAGGAAGAGGAGGAGGAGGAGGAGGAGGAGGAGGAGGAGGATGAGGAGGAGGAGGGGAGGGAGAAGGTACCACCAGACCGAAGCGAGCGCGCAAAGCAGCAGCACAGACAAATAACGAGCAGGAGAAGGACGGGCACGCGCAATTCGACGTGAACGGACAATAACCCGAGAAACGAGTTATGTAAGACGAAGCCGAAAGCAGGCATCGCACGTAAAACATTGACGGGGGTCACCCCTCCACTCCCCCGAGATGGGGTCCTTACCAGCCGCGAGGGACGTACAATAAAAGTGGAGTCCTTACTGGATGCAGTGCCCTCGCAGTGGCCCCAGGGCCGCGAGCGCAAGGCCGTCGGCCGGGCCCGCGCGTTGCACCGAAGGCAGAATGCAAGGGTGGCCCCAGCAATGCGAATCTGATGCCCCCGAGCGCCACTAGGCCCTGCAAGGCCTTGAGCGGGGAGGGGGGGGCAGAATCGCGCCGGGCCCAGGGCTCTCCCCGCCGCTGACTCCCAGAGGTCCGAGCCTTCTTGCAAGGCGGAAGCCCACGGGGGCCGCCAAGGGGGGAGGAGACCCGCTGGGGCCAGCGACAGGGGGCGAGGCCAGGGGCCCGAGGCCTTCGGGCGCGGCCCTCCACAGGACCAGTCCTCGATGACGTCCCCCCCCCGTCCTGGTACGCAAATGGGGGGCAAGGGGGGGGGGGGGGGCGCGGTCTCCTAAAAGCCTCGGGGGCGAGCGGCCTTGGCCAGCTTGCCCCGCGCCTCCTCAAGGTCCGTGTCCGAGTGCTCCTCCTCCGTCCTGGACCGCGCCCGCATAAGCGCCAGGGGCCGCTCGCGGCCCTCGGTTGCCAGGGGCGGCGGCCCCTCATCGTCGGCGGCGGCCTCGACATGGTCAACCGCCGCACTGGCCTCGGAAGGGCCCATCGGCTCCCGCGGACGCCCCCGAAACACCTGCATCATCGGAACCAGGCGCAGCGACGGAAGCCCCAGGCGAAACACCCTCCTGGCCCCAGAGGGCCGCCGCCTCGGCAGCCCCGCGCGCTCGCCGCTTGAGTCCCACGGCACCTTTGGCGGAGGCCGCGCAAGCGGAGCAACGATCACAATACCACTTTTGGCCCCAGCGCCGCGCGCGGCGCGGGAAGGCGAAGGCCTCGCCGTCAGGCCGCGGCGCCTGCGCTGGGACGCCAGCGCGAGGAGCGTCGCGCTGTCCCGCCTGTCGCTGCTCCCAGCGGCGGCGCAGGGGGCCCGCGCGGCGCCGCGGCGCGCGGTCGCGGTCGGGCAGCGCGGTGCCGTCGACGACCACGCGGGAGGCCGCGCCGATCCAGGCCGCAACCTGGCGCGCATGACTCCGGGCGTTGATGTGCGCGCCTCCAGAAATCCGCATTCGCACGCCGAAAGGAAGTGCGCCAGCGTCGTCCTCGCAGGAAGCCCTCCAGGAGCGGCGCGTAGTCGGTAGAAGCATGTAGTGGAGCCGCTCCCACCGTCGAGGCCTGCAGCACTGCGCACAGCTCAGCGCGTCCTGAGGTTTGGCGAGGTCCTGGGAGACGCCCAAAGGCGGCGCCAGAGAACCTGCCGCCCCCCCACCACCACGAAGCCCCAACCAGCGCGGTCGGCGACGTCCCTGTGTAGAAGCTCATTGCAAGAGCCCTCCGTGAAGACATACACATTTACAATGAAGTGGCCCTCCGCCCTGGCACCGCGGTCGCAGCACGAAACCCCGGTATCATTGCGAGAAAGGGCCGGCAATGACGAATTGGGATACAGCCCGCGGGGATGCAATGTGTTACCAGGAACCGCGTCGCGAACAGCGGCACAAATGTACCCGCTACCGCGTGACCACGCAGGGCATCGAGCATAGGGCGCACCCAATGCCTGCGATGCAACGTGCCACACGCACGCGCACACAGGGACAATTCCAACAATCCTCGTCCTCGGCGCATGCATACTGATGCGACCTTTTTTCTGAAAGAGATGACCACCAAGTACTGCGGTGCGCAACGCTGCCCTCGCCATAGGATCCAGCACCCAGCGCTTGGCCGTAGGGCCAGGATGCGATATAGCTCTGATAGGTGCCAGCCAAACGCCTGCAGGATCCTTGCGCGACGGGCCAGGGATCTCGGGCATGACGCCGAGTCTCTGCGACCACTGCAGCCAGCCGTGCGCCTCGTAGTCCTTGGGCGCGGTTCACTTCGCCAGCGCTGGAGCCGCATCCCTCAGGCCCAGAACCTCGCCATTCCGCGTGCGCGCATTGAAGGCAAAGGAGCGCTTCCACCCTGGCGTGGGCAACGCGCGAGCAAAAGCACCCGCGGTGCCACGAACATATTTCCAGCTGGTATCCATGGATATCGAAGCAATAAAGAAAAACCGAATCCTCCATGCCAGCTGCATCGTGGCCAGGCCCGCGTCACCAGCCTGCATCAGGACCTCCCAGCTGTGGATGGGGCCGACGATCGCGATGGTGGGAGACTGATGGTCAAGAGAAGGATCCAGTCGCGAAACAACCCAATGCGAGCAACTAGGCGGAATGGCTTACCACCCTTGCTTCGACAGAGAGGTCATGCGCTTGGCGAGGCGCGGGGCAGCTCCGGTGATGCCCGAGCTGTAGGTGATAGCAGGACCCACTGCCGCGCGCGCAACCTTCCTGAAGTTGCCACCGGGCGTGCTCAGCCGCTGGACGTGCCTGGAACGCCTGGCCACCTTGCGTACGCGACGACGTACAAGAGCGTGGATTGCTTTCCAGCGCCGACCTCCAGACCCAGGACCTCGAGCAAGGCCTGCGCCCGAAAGCCATATCGCCCCACCTTGGAGGCGACCGCGGAGGCGACGCTGGCATCGGACGCCGCGAGCATGGCCTTGGACTCGGCGACGGGCAACCCCAGGTCGAGGAGCGGGTCGCGCAAGAGCTGGATAGCCTTGCGCGCCCTAAGCGGTAGAAGCTCTCTCCTGGCCATCGCCTGTAGCGTTAGATCATCAGCGAATATGTCCAGAGAGAAGGAAAAGCCAGCGCCAGGATACTGCTCAAGTAGCCGCGCCTCCTACGCGCAATGATCTACGACTGACAACATCAGGAGCTGGACAGATACCATGACAAACTTGCAACCAGGAAGCACTCCCTGCTGGACCACCGCATGCGACGTTGCCTGCAGCCACGCCAGCCGCCGTGGGATGCGGCGCATGGCCAGGGCAGCGGAGATCAGCTGCCTCGGGAAGCCATGCGTGGCCGCGGTGGCCACCAATCGACGCCGGCAGATGTGGCCAGAGCACGTCTGGATGTCCACGATCGCGGGGGCGACGTCGTCGTCGGGCGCGAGCGACGCCTCTGCCCGCGGCAGGGCCCGAGCTGCCACATCCAGCGTGGTCTCGCCCGTCGCCTGCGCGAGTAGCCTGTCATGCTCGCGGTGCCGAGCCCGCGACTGCCGCGCTCGCACCTGCGACCAGACGCGGAAGGTCGCCTGCAGAAGCGCGATGGGCCGCCAACCACCCTTTGGCTTGGCCAGCAGCGCGGCGTGGACGGCCATCGTCTGCGTCGGCCGCCGCTCCCAGTGCTCGACCAGCCACAGGAGGTGCACCAGGCGCGCGATGGCGTCGTCCGTGAGCAGACTGATGACGCGAGGGGACAGGCGGCCAACTCCTTGTCCACCGCGCCACTTGAAGGTCTTGGCAGCCGCCCCAACCTGGCTAACCTTCGGCACAGGAAGCGAGGCCGCGGGGGGCCGACGGATGTCCTCCCCGACCTCAGCTGTGCAATTTAATCACTTAAATACCGCGCGCCAAAACAGTCGTCGCCAGCGCCAGCCCTTCCACTGACTCCAGCGTAGGCATGTCGGAGACGGCCTGCGCGTGCCAGATGCGGGACCACCCGCTCGTCTGATCATCAGCAACGTCTTGCGCCAGGGTGGGGTGGGGGGGGGGGGCGGCCGTGGCGCAGCACTTGAGAGTGCGGGGCGCCATGGGGGCCCGGTGAAGCTGAAGAGTGGCTTCGCACGCTTGTCGCGACACTCATTGGCCCGCAGCGCAAAAGCGCGGCGCCCCCCAGCCGCGGCCTTGTCCTCCGACGCCTGGGCGAAGGACTGCAGCGCGGCAGCGGCGGCGCGGGCGGCGTCGATTACCGCCCCCCGCAGGTCCGCCACGTCCACCCGCGGGCAGCAGCCGGGCGAGTAGGCATCGGGCTGCGGGTCTGGCACCAGATCGGGCATAAATCCGAACTGGTGCTCAAGCCAGGCATTGAAGTCCCGCGCGTCAAACTCCAGGGGGGCGCGCGCCGCGGGCAGGAGGCCTCGCGTCGGCTGGGCCACCTGGCGACACTCTTGCGAGTGAAGGCACCTTTCGGCGCCAGGAGAGACGATTCTGCCCCAGCGCCGAAGTAGTAGCAGCAGCTGCAGTTCAGCCCGAGGTGCGTCGCCAGCTGCTTGGGCGAAGCGCCCGGCGCGCCTGGCGCCAGAAGGCGCCGCGGGCCGAGCGGCGGCGGGGGCGCCCCCAGCCCGGCGCCAACGGTGGGCGACTTTGCCCGCTCTGCCGCGGCAGCGGTCGGCGTCGGCCTCGGCAATGCCGCGGCGGGCGATGTGCTCCTCCTCAGCAGCGCGCATGAACGCTGAGTGGAGACCGCAAAACCGCACCTGCGCCCGGTGCGCCGTGGCCTCGCCACTCGCGGCGGCGTCGCTCTCGATGACCTGCTGCTGGTCCACGCGAAGAGCCGCCGCCGCCTCGCCCTCAGGGACCGCCTTCGAAAAGGACATGGGCCCCGCCAACATCGGGAGCTTCGCCGACTTAGCGCGCGCGCCTAGGCGCGCCGCCATCGGGGCGCGCGGAGCCGCGGGCCAACCGCGCACGCGACGCGGCAGCGACAGCGATCCCGAGATGGACAGGCCAGCCAGCCAGAGGTCGATCTTGGAGTAGTTCCCCTGGGCACTGCGACGCGCGCCCGCGTTCAGCCCACTGCAAGGCCCCATCGTTCCCCAGGCTGCGAATGGGTCGGTTTATTCCTACCCAGGGTGATATAGTCAGCGCATACACGTGATTGCAATTTGTTCTCCGCACATGCGTTTCACTCGTTCGCCGTCCTTTGGTCCTGGGTCACCGCGCTCCCTTCGTCGTCGCCATGGCAGATGGATAAGCGCTTGCTCGTGATATTGCTGGGGGCGTTGTCTGGTTGGCTTTCAGGAAAGCAGCTGGCGAGGCAGCCAACAAGGCAGCCAACGAGGCAGCCTACAGGGCACCCAGCGAGGCTGCCAACGAGGCCTCCGACGAGGCAGCCCGCGGGGCAGCCAAAAGAAACAACCGTCGAGGCAACTGGCGAGGCAGCCGGCGAGGCGGCCAACGAGGTAGCCCACGAGGCAGCCAACGTGGTAGCCCACGAGGCAGCCAGCAAGGCAGCGAGGCGGTCGACAGGGCAGCCAGCAAGGCAACCAACGAGGCCACCGACACAGCACCCGGCAAGGCAACCAACGAGGCAGCCAACGAGACAACCAACGAGGCAGCCAACGAGACAGCCAACACAGCAGCCAACGAGGCAGAGATCGAGGCAGCCAGCAAGGCAGCCAACAGGCAGCCGAGCAGGCAGGCCACCAGGAACCAGGCAGCCAACGACACAGCCAGAGGGCAGCCGACAAAGCAGCAGCGAGGGATCCCAAAATGGATCCCCCTTGCGCACCTGCGCGCGCATGTCGCGCAGATCTTGGCCATTTCCACGGACAGAGGCCACCCGAACCCTTTGCGCTACAAGTGGAAAAAAGGGCATCCGAGATATAGGATGCCCTAACTCAATGGACTGCATCCATTTTCAGGATGCCCCCGTTGGAA